GGGATGGTTGCCTCCTCACGGAGGTGTAGTACGCCGAGCCGGTCGGCGACAAAGTCCAGGCTTCCAAAAAGGAAGGCCTGGGATGGCTCGAAGACGGGTGGAATCCGCATCCCAACAGGTGGGAGTGTGGGAAACTCCAGTGAGCCAAAGCGAGTCATATCGCTTGAGCCTGCCATGGCGAAGGTGGTGGAAAAGTGGGCCATCCGATGACCAAAAAGTGTGAACGTACAGCGTCTTCCCCAAGGACGGCGCCAACTGTCGGTGCAGAAAGTGACCAACACGTAAATATTTGTAGTTTTGCTGTACGTTGTGATCGGAGGTGGCCTAGCACTCAATGACACAGGGTTTATACTGGTTCAGGCAACGTGCCCTACGTCCAGTTTGAGTCGGTTGGTGACTTTATTCCTAAGCCCAGGTTCTCGAAGTTTGTTGTGGGGTTACAAACAGAAGGGAGAAAGATGGGGGGTACAAGAGGTCCGGTCGGAAGGCCGAGAGTGACGGGAGCTCTGCTATGTGCTAAGTGTTCGAGCGTGTGCTCTATATAACTTTAGAGTGTCTAAAGTTACAGAGGGTGAATCAATGTAAGTGAACTGAGGGATCTATCTGTTGGGAGAGAGGGCATCCCCTTTTATAGATGAAGAGGATGGTCTTACAAGTGAGAGGGAGAGAGTGTACGCATGCTAAGTCTTGTTGCCCACGCCGTCGGGTACAAGATGATTGTAGGCGGCCATAACACTGTTTAATGCTAGATGCATGTGGGAGGTCACGTCGTCTTCTTCTTGTATGGTAGACGTCGGTGCCTGCCATACTGTCGATGCCTAGAGGCATGCAAGGGGTTTTACTGTGCTTGTCCGGTATGGTAGTTGTTGTGGGCGCCCACAACACTGTAAGGCAAATGTCGGCGCCCACAACACTGTTCTGACATGCCTGGAAGTTTGCAGGGCACTCTTCTGACATGTCCTATCGGTACTATCCTGTAGGTATACAGGGTACGGTCCTCGGTCAATCGGTTTGACTTGAGTGCCTTACCTTACTTGCTTCGTATGTTTCCTGGTCCTCACCAAACGGGCGTCCCCGGTCGGTTGGTCCTAGTCGGCTCTGATTGCGCCAGTCGGAGAGGAGCCGTAAGCAAGGGTTCGGCGTATCTCCGGTCGAAGACGCGGGTTGGAGTTGGAAGTGGTGTTTGGCCAGGCCTTCCAGTCGGAGAGGCCGTTCGGAGGCGGGCTGGAGTTGGAAGCGAGGCCTTCCGGTCGGAGAGGCGGGCCAGAGTCAGAAGCGGGCGTCGTTCCTTCTCGGCCAGGCCTTTCGGTCGGAGACTGTATCACCCTTCTGGTCTGTCTTTTTAGGTATTTGGGCCGGCCCATGAGTTGCTCGTCGTTCGCAACGTCGTCTGCTGGGCCGAGCCTTTGTTGGGAAGCCGGTCCATGAGGGACCCCGGGTTTATGAACCCAACAGTTGGATTTCGGCGGTTAGCTGCTAAGGCAAGGTACGAGAGGGAGTCGTACTTGCCGCTAGAGAGTGAGAGTGTGGCGAGATGTGTGTGATGGGTGGGAAAACATGTGTGGATGATGTGGGTTAAAACTTAATGAATTATTATTAAAACTTGACATACTCGCATAGAAAACTACGGCCTCAAATAGGTCTTTTGCTCTATCCTTGCGTTCCACTACCATAAAGTAAACGAAAAGCAAAGGGTGGGAGCTGGTGGCCAGTACAAATCGTACTGATAATTATTTGGCAGGTTCCGAGTCCGAGTCCGACTTCCAGGGAGATGGTTGGGAGGATTAGAGGTCTTGTCCTTCGCTCAAGTTTGGTTTGGAAGATGAAGTCTATGCCCGCTGCCGTTCAACCTGATGTTGTCCCAGATGTTGTGGGCTCTGAGTGATTCAGCCAAGTGGCGATGTAATAATGAGTAAACCTTGTTATTTGTACTCTGTAAGAGGTATTCGATGTATGACTTGTGATATCGACTGTTATTCGATAATGTGATGGAATGATCATCTGGGACTATCACGTTATGGTTCGAATCTGTAGATTTCCTTCGTGGAAATCGAGATCGTTTCACTGATGAATTATGGTTCAAATTAATCAAAGCCAAATACTTGAATGGATGCAATTTTTTTTCTGCCCCAAGGAAGGGGAGTTCTCAGTTCTGGCAGGGGCTTCACAAGGTGAAGTACCTGTTCAAGTGGGGGCCCTCTTCAGAGTGAGGAATGTTTTGAACTGTAGGTTTTGGCAAGATTGTTGGGTTATGAGTGTCCCTAAAGTAGCTTTTGAGGATCTGTTTAGGCTGGCCAGTGACCCGGAGGTCTCTGTATCAGATTGCTGGGTGGATGGTGACTGGTGGATTGATTTCAAAAGGACTTTATCTGTACAGGATTTTGAAAGATGGTCTGAGCTCAAGGGAGAGCTGAGTAGGATTACCTTAGACCTGGATAATAGCGACGTTGTTACATGGGGGCTGGAGAAGAAAGACATTTTCTCCACCAAATCTTTATATAGGTTTTTAACTGAGGGGGGGATGCCCAGTAGAATGGCTGGTCACATCTGGAAGTGTAGGATCCCCTTGAAAATCAAGTTTTTTCTGTGGCAAATATTCAATAACAAGTTGCAGTGTGCTAGAAGCCTTATTAAGAGGGGTTGGAAAGGCAATGAAATATGTTGTCTGGGTGATGGCTGTGAATCAGTAAATCACATCTTTTTTGATTGCCATATTGCCAAAACGATTTGGGGGTTTTATACGAGAAATCTTTGATTGGAACCATTTTCCTTCTTCTCTTAGAGAGTTCACTGAATCATGGCTACAGGGCAAGGGGCCTATGCCTACTAGGTTAATCCTGTTCATTTTTGCAGGTTTCGTCTGGGCCATCTGGACCAACAGGAACAAGATGGCTATCCAACTTAAGTTTCCAAAATCTCCGTCTGACATCATATACACTGCTGTATCGTTTGCAGAAATGAAGTATTCTGCTTAAGGAAGCTGATCGTGACGCATACAACAAGTGAAGGACAGTATCTTGCTCTGGATTGGAGACTTCAAGCCGGCAGTGCTACATTCTATGGATGTCTATGAACTTTAGAATCGGAGTAGCTGTGTGTCTGGTGTTTTGTTGGCGTCTTTGGAACCGGTGATCCCAGTAGTGTTGCTATTGCGTCTGTGAACCTGGTTTTTTCCAGGATTGTATGCGATGCTTTCTTAAAAGCAGAGGCAGTGGCTGATCTAGAATTTTAACTCAGTGTATGCCGTTCAAAAGTTTTCACATACAATTTGGTAAAACCATTTGGCAATTCGGTAAGGATTGAATTTTTTTAACATAGTTCGGTATGTATGCACTAAATTACTAGATAAATCCTAAATTCAAAAATCAAGTTGAAAATATCCACAGATACAATATAAATAATTCAAACGTCATACCGGTGATTCAAAAAATATAGCCATAAAATAGAGTAAGAGATTTACACTCAGAGAAAGGATTTGAAGTAGCAGCAGCAGCCGCCGCCGTCACCATGCAATGTCCCCGCTTGTTAGGGCAAATCCCCGATCTCGCTGTACTTGTATGGAGGATAATTTTATGATGGTAGCGAAAAGCAATGAAATTAAGTGAACAAAAAATTTCTATGAAAAGACGAAAAGAAGAAGATGCCGAATAGAAAAGATTGAATCTCACCTAATCCAATCCAACACAGTGTATGGCGACTACCGAGACGACGAGGTTCCGTGCTGTCCGTTACTTGATCTATCCGCGACATAGCGTGGACGATGGAGCCGAAAACCGCTAGTTCATCCGCCTAGGCGTCACGAATTCACGATGGTCAGGCGGCGCAGCGACGTGGCTTGGTCACGTTGTAGTTGGAATGCAAGATCGAACGGGCCCAAAAAGCCGAGACAACGAGACCTGAACATGGACCCATGCCTGCATGGCCTCGTGGGCCACGTGGGCCTCCCATCACGTGGTCATTATCTTCCACTCGGTGAGCGCCGACGCGATGTGTGCGACCCCGCGCCTAGCGGCCACGTTATTTTTTCTTTTTTTTCCAAAAACACATTCTCTATAACTAAAACATACGGATTGTCAACATCTACCCAGCAGGACCAAAACACTAATGCGATCCATATCCGACAGGCAAATAATCACCGCATGGAGACACTGGAAGGCAAGTAAATAAAATGGAATAAAACTCACGGAATCACCGGCAGGCAAATAATCACCGCATGGAGACACTGTAAGGCAAGTAAATAAAATAGAATAAAACGGAAAGAGAATTATAGGAAGATAAATGAATTTATTGGAATATCACCATGCAATAATCATGATCGTGATCCAAATCTCGTTCGTCGTCCTTCGCGTTGCGTGTTGACAACAAATATTTTTTTCCCAAAAAATGAATTGTTGCCATGCCTCATACGGGCTAGGATATTGTAAGTCCGAGTATACATGTTTTGGGCAAGGCAGAGCATGGATAAATTCAATTCGATGCCTAGCAATAAATATTTAGCTTTTGAGGCAACTGATGTTTGTCGTAACTTTTAGACAACAAGCTTCAAGCCTAGCTTTTATTTCAGATTCATTACGATAATGAATATATTTCTAGACATTATCATGGTATAATACACGTGAAAAATTGAATTGATATATTCTTTATTTTAACTTGGTTAACAAATATCTCATTCAATTTATGTTGCATCCGTTGCAACGCACGGGCACTCATCTAGTTATATATGATATGAATTCCTGGGATCTCAGGGTATCTCCCTTAAAAAAAATCAAGCGGGCCAGAAACAGCTGATTTTGACCACGGACCACCAGTGTACTCAGGCCTTGAAGCCATTGTCCAGCCCAATCCACCGCAGCCCGCAAACACGTCACCTATAAAAGCTAATCCCACTGACATGAGAATCAGCTCCTCGCTCCCAACCCTAGCGCAGCCGCCGCCGCCACCCGTCTGCACCCCGCTCGCCTCTCGCTAAGCTCCGGCGGAAGTCAGTCAGGCTAGGCAGCATGTATACGGCGAGGAAGAAGATCCAGAAGGACAAGGGCCTTGAACCTTCCGAGTTCGAGGACTCCGTCGCGCAGGTACGCCAGCCGGTCCCCCCCTGACATAGCCGCCGCCGCCGCCTCCCCGTTGGTCGTTTCACGAATATCTTACCGGTCTGGCGCTGAAACCATTATCCGCGTGTTTTGCAGGCGTTCTTCGACCTTGAGAATGGGAACCAGGAGCTCAAGAGCGACCTCAGGGACCTCTATATCAACTCAGCCTTGTAAGTTGTAAGCGACCATCTGGTTTTATCCTTGTTTGGTTTAGTGTAATGTGGAGTGGTCGGTGATGTGTGATCTGCCGTTGGTTTGGTTGCAGCCAGATGGACGTAGACGGGGCCAGGAAGGCGGTGGTGATCCACGTGCCGTACAGGCTGCGCAAGGCCTTTAGGAAAATCCACGTCAGGCTCGTCAGGGAGCTGGAGAAGAAATTCAGCGGCAAGGTCCGTGAATTCTAGCGATGCCATCATTTTTCTTTTTGCTGCTTTGATCACTTAAAAATCTGAGGGGAAAGGTGATATTTTAAGCGACAGCTAGTTGAACAAAATGTACTATTACTACTAGGTAGGCTTGGCTGTGTAGTTATGGTTAGGGAGAACAAGAATAAGCAAACACTTTCAGAAGCATGAAAGATTTTGTGATTGCTTGCTGTCATGATTCGTAAATTGAAAGCATATAACGTTCTAACTTTCCAATTCATGCAGTTATATTATTTTGGTTCTTGTTGAGTGATTGTAATGCGGTTATCTTTGTATCTCTGCTTACAAATGACTGGATAAACCACACAAGGGCACACTCGGCGAGCTGGTTGTTTTACTTGTGAATTTGTTGACATGTATATGTATATCAAGTTATTGGCCTATATTAATATAAGCTGCAGTATGTGTCCTTGTGGACTTCCATGCACATCATAAATTCTCATGCAATTTGTGCATGTTACTGTCAAGGATCTGAGACAACTGACAATCGACAACCACCTGTGATACTTTTGTATTGGTTATGAAGATGTGCCACTTAATTATATATTTAGGTTAACACTGTTAAATTTTTTGTGCAGGATGTGGTGATAGTTGCGACAAGGCGGATTGTGAGGCCACCAAAGAAGGGTTCTGCTGTTGTTCGCCCACGCACCAGGACTCTGACTGCAGTTCATGATGGTATCTTGGAGGATGTTGTCTACCCAGCTGAGATTGTGGGCAAACGTGTTAGATATCGCCTTGATGGATCAACGATCATAAAGGTAAGATTTGAACCAATGTTCAGCACTGCCTGATTACTTTATTTTAGTGTCTCCTGTCAGGTAATCTGGGAATGGTATTAATGCACACTGTGTCTGTATCTTTTATGAACATAATACTTATTAGTTGCAACCAAACTATCAGGAATCTGGATATTATAAAGAGAATTTGTCGTTTGTTTTGCTGTTGGACTTGCTGACTATTGAGCTCTATGAACTCTCTAATTTTCTTGCAGATCTTCTTGGACCCAAAAGAGCGCAACAACACAGAGTACAAGCTAGAAACCTTCACTGCAGTGTATCGCAGGGTTTGCGGGAAGGATGTGGTCTATGAGTACCCATTTTCTGAGACTGCCTGAATGTGTATGCAATGGGATAGTGTACTTCAAATTCAGGGTGTCTTTCTATAGATCTTTGTCACTCAAACTATCTATTCTAGAAGTCAAAATGATAGTTTTGATGTGGAACTTGGTATTAGGCCTCTCCACCTGGAGATGTCAAACAGATGCTCAAAAATGTCAAAATTTGAGAGTTGAATTCTGATGCATTTGCTATAAACGTGTTTGGTTGCCTACGTTAGCCTATACCTAGGCTTGTGCAGTGCAGGACTGATTGGTTGCAATCCAGGCCTGTCCATTGCCGCAGGTTATAGCTTGTGCCAGATAAAAATTTCATTCCTGCCTTTGACAGTAATTTCTCCCTCCAACCGTATACGTCTCCAAATGCGGTCCTTTAAATATTGGAATGCCTTTTTATTCGATCTGCTTATGTAAACCGGCAGTCTGAGATGCCTCTCATTTGTCGTCTCAGATTGCACCTGGAGAATCTATTTTATAGGAAATAGGTTCATGAAATTCTTGTTGAACATGACTTCTGACTTCTCTTTATTTATTTGCTGCCCTGAACAGACTTCATACAGTCCCAAAATCTCCCGCAGACATGTGCATTGTCCTCATTTGCTTTCATTAAGATTAATGAATCATCAACAAACAGTAAATGTGAAACACAGGTGGAGTGTGATAGATCTGAGTGCCTTGTAACATGTTCATCGCCTCATCTCCTCCGCATGGTGTAGCAGGTATGGTGATGGCGGGTATCCTTGCTGCAGCCCTCTTTGCGGAGTAATTTCCTCTATAATTCCCCATTCACGTTTATGCGATATTGAACAGTTACACATTTCATTAACAAAGAAACTAGCTCACCATGAAAACCCAATCAGCGTAGCATGGCTTCCAGGAAATCCCACTCCATATGGTAGGCTTCAGCGGAAGCGGCTGCATTAAGGGACGGTTTTCTACTGGCTTAACAGATTGGCCGCAATCGTTTTGAGATCCAATCCGACTACATGGAAGTGGTTGAAACGATGCATGATGGGGTTTTTTTCTGGCCATGGCTGCAGTGGCAATCTACGATGAGAATGATGAGAATGAGATCGTCCAATATTGGAAGGAATTTGGTGAGATATCTATTAGTTATTGTAATAGATCTTGTAATTCAGTAGCCCATGAATTAGCTAGGCAAACTTTATTATAAAAGAGTTCTCATGTTTGGGTAGATGACCCCCTTCATCAATCTTACAACTTCTTGTAAACGATGTCACCGTCTATGTGAACCAATACCGTTTGCCGGAAGTTTTTTTTTTAAAAAAAAAAAAAGCTTTACTCATATCAAGCTTCACAGCCATATAGCCATCCAATCCTCTCCTCTTGTTCAGTATATAATGAGTCATCTCGTAAGCCACAAGCACATTGTGGACAAACGCACTTTGATTTGGTGAGATAATATTATTTTAAAAAACCTTTAGCCTATTGGCTAACACCTTTGAGATGATTTTATATAGAACATTGCAAAGACTTATGGGACATAAGTCTTTAATTCGATCCGGCTCTTTGACCTTTGGAATCAAGACCACCATTGTTTCATTCCACCCTAATGGGATATCCCCTCCATTCAGTAATCCCAGGAGGCCAGGACCTCCATTTTCACACTAGGCACAATTGAATCCCATAATTTCTTATAGAAAATTGCTAGTGAAAGGATCAAGATGTTCAAGAGTAGGGTGAATTGGACCAATTCTAAATTCTTTGTAATAATTAAGCCCTACACTTAGCCCACTTCACCCCTTGTGTCTAGAATGTGTTTCTATTGTTCACACGCATAAAAATTTTGCACCCTACATTCCAATCCTACTCTATTATAACAATTCTAGGAATATAAAGACATGAAATGAATTGCTTAAATATAAATGTTCAAAGTAAAGAGAGTGAAAGGAACACGGCGATGTTTTTCCGATGTATCGGAGAGTCGTCCCTCCCCACTAGTCCTCGTTTGAGCACTCATGCAAGGGTGTAGCTCCCCCTTGATCCGCATAAGGATCAAGTGCTCTCTACGGGCTGATTCTTTGACACTCCGTCACGGTGAATCACCCACAACCGCTCATAACTTGACTTGGGTAATCCACAAGCTCCACCAGATGATCACCAAGCTCCTAATGGCGATCACCAAGAGTAACAAGCATAAACTCTTACTTGACCAAGACAAGCCTAATAAGAAGGGTGGATGCACACTTGTTACTCTCTATGCACTACTAAGGTCCTTAATCTTAGATTTTCAAATCTCAATCACCTCACTAGACTCTTGCTCTCCCTTGCACTCCAAAGGTGTTTCTCAGCTGAACAAATGGGCAAAAGACCTCCCATGGACGAGTGGAGTAAGTATTTATACCCCCTCATTCAAAACATAACGTTTAGAGGTTGAGTCAGCACTCTGCAGGTTGACCGGACGCTCCAGTCAGGGTGACCGGACGTTCCGGTTAGTTATACCCGCCACTGTGTCAGAAAGAGCCGTTAAGCTCTGACCGGACTCTGACCTATGTCTGGTCAGTACCCAACGGACGCGTCCGGTCAAGAAAAACGCTCTCTGGAACCTTACTGATGTTGACCGAACACTGACACCCAGAGTCCGATCACTTCACTGTTCAGCGTTCGGTCAGGTACCGGATTCTGACCAGCATCCGATCAGCACATACCAGACGCGTCCGGTCAGCAAAAAGTCTCTCTGGAGTTGACCGGACTCTGGTACCCCAGTGTCCGGTGCACCTTCACTCAGCGTCCGATCAGTACCAGATGACTGCAGTTGATCAAATGAACTGACCGGACTCACCCTCCAACGTCCAATCACAACCAGACCAGCGTCCGGTCAATCATTTAACCCTCCATTCACCTCTAACTCAAAATCCTATGTGAATGAAGTTTACTCCAATTGGTCTTATGTAACACCTCTGGTGTTTTGACCTAATACTAAAAATTTGACATGTCATCATGTGCATTGCAAAGCATTCATTTAGTATAAAGTTTTGAATGCATTCACTAAATAAGGTTTATTTCATAATGTTGTTATTTCATGTGATGTGTTTCGAAAACCCTAAATACAGATCATGACCACAGGGGTTAAATTTCATGTGATCATGTGAGGTCATATGTCCTTTGACTCAAATAACCCTAATGGGCCATGTTACTGGTCAAAAAAAAACCAAAATCTAAGTAAAAGGAAGACAAATCAAATTTGAATTCACATTCAAATTATAAAGGTCCTTTTTGCCCCTTTTGACTAATTCAAAATCCATGAGGAATTTGGGGTTGAGGCAAAAAGCAAAGTTGGAGATTATTTTATGTAGATCAACTTTGGTATTCAAAGTTTTTCAAGATTACATATAAAATTTGGAGTAATTTTGAAATGATTCAAATCTTTAAATGTACCCCAAATTTGAATTTCAAAATGGAGGCAGAATTTGAAAATGTTTCTTAAACCAAAGTTGTAGTACTTGAAAAGTTGAGCAACTTTTATTTTTGGAGATTTTCAACTTCTTTAGAAAATTTCTGAGTAATTTGAGAAATGAATGCAGTGGCAGTTCTGTAATTATTTCAAAAGTTCAACTCCACCTCACTTGTTGTCACGGCGGCCACGCTGGGGGTCACCGCCGAGCGTTTTTTGCGCCGCTTTCCTGCTGTGAGCACGTCACCGTCGCCGTGGCGTCTCCATCGTCTTATTTGTCGCGCACCGGGCGAGCTCATCCCGCTATAAATAGCCACGCCGCCGCCGTCGTTCCCATTTCTTCCTCCGCTCGCTCCACCATCACGCGTAGCTTCGCGCCGCCGCCGTAGGCCTCGCCGAGCCGCGTCGATCGTCCTCAGCTACGTCAACGTGATCGCCGGTCTTGCGCGCTCCTCCTCGATTTGCTCTCGTCATTTGGTGTTGGTCGGAATCGCCTTGGCGCAACCCGTCTTCCCGCGGACCGGGTCGGAACTCCGCCACGATCGCCCTCACCGTGGCCAGCCGCTCTAGACCATCTTCGATCGCACCAAGCCCATCATCGTGTTCGTGGTGAGTCCACGATCGTGTTTCGCGCCTTCGCTTTAGACTCTCATCGCACCGTAGCTATAGCTACGTCGATCGCCGTCGTGTCCAAGCCGCCATGGCCGGCGTTGAGTGCCATCTGGTGTGCCTTTTTCGCTCGAGGCTTGGGATAGATGCGCGACTTGATGTAGATCATGTAGGAGCAAATCCGTCTCACCGGAGATTCACCACCGCTGCTTTTTGCTGGCCGGAGCTGGCAGCCGCCGCCGCTGTCTTGCCCACTGTCGCTGACGTGTGGGGTCGACTGTCGATGGAGCCGAGGAAGAAGAAAAAAGGCAATTTGGTTATTTTTCGATTTTGAATAGTGCAGCAATTTTGCAATTTTGTAGGAATTTATTTACACATCCAAAAATTCTGAAAATTTTTGTGTAGCTTATGTACATGTTCTAGTATGATTTAAAAATTTGAAATTTGAAATTTGGATAAATTTTGAATGTTCAAAAATTCAGTCAATTAATTAATAAATGCAAATTCCATGATTTTTGTAGGCCACTGTATAACTCCAAAAATTATGAAATTTATTTTGGTACACTAATTTATCATGAGGATGCTTGTGTAAATTTTTGAGATCATTTGGAACAAGTTTATTTTTAAGCTTAATTCCAAATTAATTCAAAAATAGATAAAAGCAAACCCTAAGTGTTTAATTAGTGTTGGATCTTGTTTTGGTCATGTTTTGTGACTAGTAGGGTTTCAAGATCCATTTGGTCAAGTCACATGTGTGGTTCATAATGGTAGGATTGCAAGTTGATTTTGTTGGCTTGCAACCATGCATCGAAGTGGAATAAAATCGTTTGTGGGTGTTTTACATTTCATGTACCGTGAAAGCATCATGTTTACATTATCATCATGTTAAAGCATATGTTATCATTTTCGTGTAGAACCCGAGAACTAAACGATTCTAGTTGAGCAAGTTCGGAAGACTCCCGGTTGTCACGAGGAT